TGTTTCGTTAAATACACATACCTATTGGCAAGAATGACCGCCTTTTGACCTTGATTATCTAACCATGCGACACTCTTTCCAAATCCACTAAATCCGATTTCATTTTGACGAGTGCTTATCGATTGAGATACATTGTCGAATGCGTACAATAGAACAATATTGAGAGAATGAATTCCGATCAGTATTTGTCGAGTACGCCAAGCAATGCTCACTGACATCGTTGTGTCGGCCGAATAAGCTCGACTCTGTGCGACACGAAAATTTATACGTAGATCGGACCAGTTAAAGTTCAAGTCACTTCTGATCGAAATATCCCTCACACGGCCTGGAATCGACAAAGAGCTATTCAAGGCCAATATAGAACCATATTCGATTGCAGTCGATGGTGTCGATTGACAGTAACCAACCAAAACACCATATTGCATATTTGAACCAATGTCGATCGCTCGAGGTGAAATATTGAAAATATTTGACCATACAGTCAATTTAAATGGTGGCTGTAATTCATAAAAAAATATAAAATCGTCAGCAAAGCCATAAACACCTGTGCCGTTTCCGTCTATAGTAATGATAAAATTGTCTTGTGTTGAATAGTTCGATATAATTTGTTCATTTATTAGCAAAAAATCGCACGTAGTATTACTAGCGAAGAAGCCGATGATATTGTTTCCTTGATGATCAATACAATTGTAGACAAATAATGTACTATCAACCACTGGAACAACAGTACTATAGACAAAGTCACATGTTGTCTCATTGTAATACGTGAAACATGTAAATGAACTATTTGCTGAAATCGGAATAATGTACCAAACTAAATAAAGGTTGTCGGCTGAAACCATTATACGATCATTTAAAGCAACCTTGATTCCATATAAATCATAATCAGTAGTCACCTTGATATACAATAACACGGGATCAATAAGAAGTATCGCTGTCATCATTATCTGTACGGCAACAAACATGTTGAATATTCTACAAAAAAAAATACAAAGCTAAATGGATTGATGTGACGGAAACTGTACGAAATAATGGACCTAGTGAAAATAAGACAGTACAAACAATAAAAAGGATGTTTTCAAGTAAGTATAAAATTCAAATGTTTTATATTTCAGAGTTTTGAGATTCTGTCACAAAGGTGTCATAGCTTCATCCAAACGACATCCAAGAGTTGAATTTTAAAGACTCGCAAATCTGAATCATTTGAATGGGATGAAATGTCATTGCATGTCGACGCTTTCTCATTAGGGGAAAATAAACAAAAAGAATTTAATGAAAATGGCTAAAGAGTAATAACAACAATGCAATGAAATTTATGCTTGTTAAATGAATCAACAATATGAAATAATTTTGATGAAAACGCAGAAAATCATCATTTTAGTGATATGACATTTATGAACTTCCTGAATAGCAACACAATGATTTGATATCGTCATTTTTCTTCTCACTTTTCACTCTCTCTCTTTTCTATATTTGTGCGCAGTATGTCTATCTAATACAGCAAGAAATTTAAAGTTGTCAAATGAGCATCATTTCCGGGAGTAGGAACGTCGCTACTTCGTTAGTTTACTCTAGAAAAAAATGCGAACGACCATCGAAGTAATAACAATTTATGTAGAGAAAAATAACATATCGACCAGAAAGAACGATATATCTCGCATTTTTACTTTGTTTTTCTTTGCCATATTTGAGAATTATTAATTTTCTATTACGGAAGTCGTCGTTCAATTCACTTAGAAGGTTTTTGCTTCCCCTTTATTTTTATAGTGATGTTTCGGCAATGACGTTGTCTTTATCAAACATTGAAATGAACAAATGTTCTATGCACAATCCTTTCTATTCTCTTTTTGTGACATTCTTCATTCTTTTGCTCCTCTTGCTTATTTTGATAATGAGATATCAAAGTAAATGAGACGAGTGCAATAAAAAAGAATGACAAGAAACAAGGAAACTACCCTAATAAGCTTATCCATTTCCGGTCGGATGTTGCCATTTGGCAACATTTAGTCAATATTTCTAGGATGGCTTGCTTATAGTAAAGATATAAAACATTTTAAGCATTTGATAATTATTGCAGTACATTTCAGGATACACTCGCGGTTTCTACTACAAAAAGGAACTTTCCGTTGAGAGCATAACCGAATTTATCTACAATATCCCATAGAACCCATTCAACCGTAAAACACATTTTGCTGCAGATTGACTGGTTGAATACTAGAAGTCATTAGCTGTAAATTTTGCTGCTTAGATCTATTGTATATTGCATTAATAAAAAGGATTGTTCAGTAAATCCGAACAATGAAAATCATAGATGTTGCCAATTGGCAACAGCCGGCCGTAATGGGTCAAAAAATTGAAAACTTTTTTTTTCGATTTCGATCATCAAAATGCAGTATTGTTTGTCTTTTCGTTTGTTCAAAAGGTTTTCAGAAGAAAATATAACGTAGACATGTATAGAATGTTTTCCACAGCTTTTTTAAAATTTAAATCTACTTTTTAGTAGCATAATTCAAGTTTGCTAGCCTTCAGATTGTAATAACCGAACAAGAATAGGTGCATGGTGAGTTAAATTCAGACGTTGGTGTAGGTCTTTTATTTATTTGCACGCACATTCATATTCAAAACAATCATTGTTTTCTATGCGCTTTCTGGAAAACTGCAAGTCTCGTACACTGGAGTTTTGTCACTAAAAACGAAATTTAAATTTTGAAAAAGCCGTATGGACACACTCTATCTATATTTGAGTAATTCTTTTCATGTTTAAGTGTTTTTAATAAACGAATAAGTACTGAATAATGCATTTTTATAATCGAAATCGAAAAAAAATTTGTCAACTAATTTGACCCGTTACGGCCGGGTGTTGCCAAATGGCAACATGTAGCCATTGGATAAAAAAGAAATTTTTTTATTCTGAAAAATATATTTCTGGTATCACTGTGGTGGAGCAACAAAAAATATTCAAGACAATATTTTTTTGCTGTCTGCCTTATGGGAGCCGGCTGGAAAGGGTTATGTTGAAAAAGAAAGATTCAAGAAAACTTGGGTCAATTGAATATCATTCCTATTTAATCGAAAAGAGAGTATGTGTGTGTGTTAGTGTACGTATAAATTTGTCATTTACTCACACGCACACCCAACTAGCAGCAAGCTCACTGAAAATAATGCATGGGATGTCACAGTATCGCTGTTTTGTTGAGAATATAGGAATACTTAGTAACGTTTCTACAAGGGGGAATCAGCAGAGACTTCAGCCGTGAAGTCTCATGAAGTCTTGTAAGTCTTTTGAAGTCTTCTGAAGTCTCTTGAAGTCTTTTGAAGTCTTATGAATTATCATAAAGTCTCTGAAGTCTTTGAAGTCTCATGAAGTCTCATAAAGTCTCATGAAGTCTCTTGAAATCTAATGAAGTCTCATGAATTCTTTTGAAAGTTTTGAAATACATTTAGTGCATGAAAATTCATAAGAAACCAATGAAATTGTCTTGTTTTCGACGATTTTATTTTAGCAGAAAGGT